CCACAACACCCCCCTTCTCAGGCCAGGCACTCGTGGGGCCTGCTTTGCACCCTCCTTAAGTGCCTTTGCCCGGCTGAAATGTGTCCTTGAATAATGCCTTTTGCTGACTTGATGGAGAAAAGAGAACAGAGTGTGTGAGTGTGAAGGAACTTGCCTGCTGTACAATGGTAACATTCACATCTGTTGCCCACTGGCAAGTGGCCCCTGGAAGGAAATAGGACCCTTAGTGCGAAAAGAGTCTAAAAAGGTTGAGGGAGGTAAATTCAGCAGGTGGACTACTATAGCAGAGGTGGGAACCTGTAACCTGTAACCCTCTACATATTGTGGGACTGCATTGTATTTGAGCATTGGCATGCTTGGTGGAAAATGGATGCCAACGACATCTGGAGGGCTAAAGGTTCCCCACCCGTGAACTAAGCTTATTTTGGGCAGGCTGTTCTCGCTGTCCTCTCCTTCTTTCAGAGTCAAGTCTAGTCTTCAGAAATAGCAAGAGGTGGTGGCAAACCTGCGTCTGGACTGCAGAATTTCAGATTGCTGGTTGGGGTCACTTGACTGAATACTATTCCATACATAAGTTTGCCTGCCCATTAAAAAGTGACATGTCAAGGAGAAGGCAAGGTTAGAACTCCTCTCCCTGACATACAGGCTGTGTGTACCCCCACAGCTTTAAAGCACATTCAAAGCACATTCTTTCCCTCAAAGAATTCTGGGCGCTGTAGTTTGTTAAGGGTTGCTTTTGTACAATTGTAAGGGGTAAACTACAGCACCCAGAATTCTTTGCGGGAAAGAATGCGCTTTGAATGTGGTTGAAAGGTACAGCCTGTGCACAGCCCTAGTTTTCTATGTGCACAGAGCTGTTTTGTCTGGGAAAGTATTCTCTGTCTGGAAGAGTATTCTCAGTTGTGTGAAGCATCAGATGAAGTAGGTAGGGCTTCTGTGACTGAAAGCTCCTCCACACCCAACAGTTTCTTGACTGCCTGAAGGGGTACAGTCAGGTTTGTCACCAAAACCTGTAGTTTGTGAAAATTGTGCCAGGCTGCCTTTGAGAAGGAGAGGAAGAGATGGATTGCAAAAAACTGAACCCACTGCTTACCTGCACCCACTTCCCCATTTTAAGCCAGACCCAAATGATTGGGTTGCAATCCTGTGGAGGAAGGCATCAGAGCATCCTGTTCCTGTGGTTGCCCCTGTATGGGCCAAGGATATGATCTGGCAGAATCTTGTGGAAGCCCCACTGGGTGGCCTTGAAATAAATTAGTAACTTGGAAAAAAGTACCACCTGCTAGTCAAAAAACTACCACCTGCTTGTTTTATAGTTGTAATCATTAATGCAGATTAGACTCCCCTCTTCACTCAGCAGCATGCAGTCAGAAGGGGGTAAGCAGGGAAGGATTTTATCATACCTTCTGTTTTCAGTGTTTATGCTGTGCCATTGCTTCTGTAGTAAAAATGGTGTCATCCACACACATGAGGGATTGGTCAGCAGGCTTAGGAGAACCCATGTTTTACAGAAGTACCGAAAACAACACCATCTCCCACCTTAGGGTGGGGAATTACAAAAACAGGGGACTGATTATGGAATGCTAACTGACTGTTGGAGGGAAAATGCCAGGCAGAAAAGAACTGAAAGGGCTGGAATCTTGATCTAGGATCACTCCATCCACACTTCAATACTTTGTTGCAGGTCTCACCTTCGACTAGTATTGAACTATTCTGATTGTGTATACCTTACTGGTGTTTAGAGAGCCAGCGGTGATGGGTGGCTGGTGTGTTGGGTTTGGATATGGGGCATGCAATTTCAAACTCTTTCTCAGCTGTGAAATCTTGGGCCATTCTCTATCTCCAAGCCTGAAATCCCAGAAAGTTGTTGTCAATCAGTGTAGGCAATACTGAACCACATGGACCAGATTCAATATAAGGCAACTTCCTATGTTTTCCATGCTTGTTAAGGTAAACCTAAATAATTCTATGAAGGCCGTGTTGGGCTTATTGGATGAAGTGTGGGATACCAATGTAGTAATAATATTCCTGGATATGTACCTTAAAAGCTGGTTCATATCTAGCACGTTTCTCTGAGATGATGAAGCCCTTTCATGGTGACTGTATCACTTCACTTGGGCACTGGGGAATATTTCTCCGATGTGTCACATCTTGAAAATTGTGGATTTTTTAAAATTAAAAAACCTGCAGTTTTGGGTGTGTGTGTGTGTGTGTGTGTGTGTGTGATTTCAGACAAATCCAATACCTACCTGCAAGAAACTCAGGTGGTGTGGTATTTTTGTGATGTACTAGGCAACTTCAGAAATACATATCTGAATCAGCCTTAAGTGTGTGGGTGGAAATATTGGGCTACAGAGACAACGTACCACAGCTCAGGAGGCAAGTGTTGGCAATGGAGTTGGTATCACTGTGGTTATTAGGATAGTTAGCTTAATTATGACTTCAACATCAGTAAGTGAGATTTGAACAGGGTAGCCCTGTGTCTGTGAAGAGAAAAAGACACAGGAGCAGGATGATAATTGCATTTTTTAGTACAGCAACAAAAGATTTCTACAGCTTTCAATAGAAGCCCTTTTATTATCCTATAAATCTAAATTCATCGATGATGATGGTTATTATTTACTGCAGAGGTATAACTATCTCTCTGGTGTGATGCCTCTCAGAAGGGCATCTGGTTTTTTAAATTATTGTTATTATGTTTATTATATACGGTTAGCACACCCAGTGTGGCAAACACCTTCCAGACAGATAGAAAAATATCTCCTCCTGTCTCTATTGTCACCCCACCCCACTCACAAAAAGTGTATGTAGCTAAGATTTGTAAGCACAATACCATTTCCCCTTCTGCTTCTGTATTTTTTTTTAATCAAACGTATCTTATTTAATACTTTCTCTTTCTTTCCCTGAGCACAGACCACTCAATAGCTTCCAAAGAGTGCCGGAGAAATAAATTAAAGCTAGCTCTCGCTGCTTTTGAAATCAATAAGAATTTTGCTTTTGACTTCTGCGAATTGAATTTTTAACCCATACCAGGAAGAGGGAAGAGTGTGTGGCCGTATGTCGCCCTTTCTCTCCTTCCCTCAGACTTCCAGCTTTCCCTTCAGGCTTCAGGCTGGCTCAGGCAACCCTCTGCAGGATCCTTCCCTCCCTCCCTCCCTCCCTCCCTCCCTCCCTCCCTTCCATCCCATGACTCACAGTGGCCTCATCTATTATTCCCTGTGAAATTCCATCGGAAGAGATGCTTTCCTGAGGATCATCCTCTGCTGAGGTGCCTCTGTAAATGGTGACTGGCAAAGGTAAAGGGAAGCTCTGTAGGAAACTTTTCTATGAATAATAATAATACTTTAGTGCTTATATAAATCATTACAAACATTAGCTAATTAAGCCTCACAACCACCCTCTGAGGTAAGTATTATTATTCACATAATTTGACAGATGGGGATGTGAAGAAGACATGAAGTACCACTGCCCAGGGCTGCAGAATGAGCCAACTTCCAAATCAGGCTTACAGTTCAGAGAGGAGTGGGGGAGGGATGGCTATGTCAGCTTGTGCTAGTAGGGACCACAGTGCGCCTTGGATCCTGAACAAATAGACCTGCTCCAGGGCTCATTTTTTTGACCAAGGGCTGATTCTAGCAAATTCCAGGGTCATTCCTTGGGAATAATACTAGGGAAGAACTGCCTCTGAGCATCTGCAGGGTGTCTTAGTCATTGGTGAGTATCACAGCAGTCTTTCCCTACCTCTGGAAACCAGTAATTTCCTGGACTTGCCAACTCTCCCATTCCAGTGGGGAAAGACTGACATTGCTCAGGAGTTCTTCGCGTGTTAAATGAGCAACTGTAGGAGCGCTCTCAATGCATGCTCACTGATTTGTTCCAACACAAATCCACCTCATCCCTAAATACCCATCTCTCCCTCCAAACACAAATACCCAGCTTGCAATGTTTTCGGTTGTGACGTTTGGCTGGCCTGCGCATCCCCCCTGCTCATCATGGAAGCATAGGAAGCTGCCTTATACTGAATCAGACTGTTAGTCCATTTAGCTCAGTATTGCTTATGCCTGACTGGCAGCAGCTCCCCCAGGTTTCAGGCTGGGTCATCTCCTAGCCTGGAGATGCTAGGAAGTGAATGTGGGAGGAATTAGATGCTCTGCCACTGAGCTATGGCTCTTCTCTCTTGGGGTCCTGGACTGAGAATCTTTAGAGATAGAGCTCTTCAGCATCTCCGAGTCAGACCCATTCCCTAGTCCTTCCCTCTGCCTTGGATCCTGCACTCTTTCCACTAAAATCCAGGGAAGTACCACTGCTCTGAGAAGTAGACCTTACCAGAAGCAGAAAGGCTCTGGGTAGCTTTCCCCAACCAGGTTACTTTGGCCCTTGCTCCCTAGAAGAATGGACAAAACAAGACGTGGAACCCTTTAAGATAACTAGGTGCAGCACTTGAGAAAGTGGAGCTTCCAGAAGGACTCTCCTTGCTAGGCTGCAGCATGGTACCTAAATGATTGATCTTTTACCTTAGTCACAGGTTTACTAGCCATGGTCCTGAATGCCCACAGAAACCTAGGCTAGTACATGTAATGCTGTCCAGGGTCCTGAAACTATCCCAGATCAGCACTTCTGGCCTGAGCTGCTACTTCCCTAGGACAATGGAACCCCTGATGGATCAGGGCATTGTCTTCCAGTATTTCATAAATGAAAACAGGGTCATCTTTGTACTTCTTATCATTTATACCAAGGTTAACAGCTTGAACCCACTCCACGTTATGAGAGCCACTGTAGCACAGTGGTTGGAGTTTTGGATTAGGACTTGGGAGACGAGGGTCTGAATGCCCACTCAGAAATGAAGCACACTGGATGACCTTGGGCCAGTCATAGTCTCTCAGTCTAACCTACCTCACAGGGTTGTTGTGGGGAGGAAATGGGGAGGAAAAGAACCATGAATGCCGACTTGAGCTCCTTGGGATATAAATGGAATAAATAAATAGCAGAGGACTATCTCAGCCTGGATAGCTCAGCTGGTTAGAGCGTGGTGCTGATAACGCCAAGGTTGCAGGTTCGATCCCCATATGGGATGGCTGTGTATTCCTGCATTGCAGGGGGTTGGACCAGATGATCCTCAGGGACCGCTTCAACTCTACAATTCTATGATTTTTTTCACCAGTGTGTTCAATGGGTTTGCCAGTAGCTTATCCTACACGGGCTTTCAAAGGAAGTGCTTGTATAAACTGATCACAGTAGCGTCCTTTAAAAAAAAAGTTTAATAGACTATTTAATCTCAGAATAGATATGGGTGTACTTACTGTAGAATTGCAGTAACTAAAGCACATTCAGCAGCACTGAATATCTTGATAGGTGGCTACTGAGAGCATGAAGGAGAAGCAGAACACTGGTATGTTGTGTTTAGAGAACTGTGAGACTAGCCGGGATCCCTGAGGTGGACTAATAGGGAAGGGATTCCAAAGGTGCTTGCACACATCAAGAGGGTGAAAAATATAGCTGGGAGTGAATTCTCATGCAGGGAAGAGAGCACAAGAGAAAGGAGAGAGGCGGAAAACCAGGATAGGCCACAAGATACAGAGGGCCATAGCCTGAGAAGGACAGGGAGGATGCTGAAGAAAACCAGGGCGGAAGGCTTCAGTGTGACACAGAGAGGATGAATGCTGAAAGTGAAGTGTAGGGACTCTGGAGAGCAGGCAAAGAAGACTTTAGGGTTGAGGTGTCATTTGCCAAGTTAAAGGATGCCTCTGGAAAAAAGAATCTGACTGAGCAAGTAATTACATGCACCCATATATCTTCAATTCCTGGTTGTAGGAAGTCTGCCTGAGGTTAAATTCAAACACCTTCCAACACACACACACACACACACACACACACACACACACACAAACTCCATGGGTCTCAGGGGCAAAAAGCAAGCAAGAATTGACTTAGTTGCAGGTCTTGTCATGATCTGAAAACCGAAATGGGGGCTATTTAATTGTCCTGCTATGTGCTATTACAGTGGTACCTCTGGTTACATACTTAATTCATTTTGGAGGTCTGTTCTTAACCTGAAACTGTTCTTAACCTGAAGCACCACTTTAGCTAATGGGGCTGCTGCCGCACGATTTCTGTTCTCATCCTGAAGCAAAGTTCTTAACCCAAGGTACTATTTCTGGGTTAGCATAGTCTGTAACCTGAAGCGTATGTAACCCAAGGTACCACTGTATATTTAACAGTTCAAAATGGATCCACCCAGCTGTTGGTGAAATGGCAGCCTCAAGTGGCACTTTTAAAAGTTCCTTGCATTTACCAGGTTCTGTGTGCAGAGGGGTGTGGGGAGGCATCTTGTCCCTTGCCTGATGCTACATAATGCAGGAAACTCATGTTTGTTGTATGTGATACAGTATAGTTTTATTGGCTGCAAGTAAAATGTTTTGCCTTTTCCTTTAAAAATGTAAGGTGTGAAACACTCCTGACATTCGGCCAAATGAAATGATAACCACAGGAGGCTAGCTGAGCTCCATCTCTTCTCTGGAATAAACCAAATAGCTATTTGAAAAAGCAGGAATTTTGGGCCTAGATAGGATTATATATTTTTTTAAAGCCTCAGGAGAGGTGCTTTCAGGATGTGACTGAAGAAAGCTGTGCTAAGGAAATTGGAGATTTGTCTTATTGACTCCCACCATTATCAATCCACTTCTACCCTAAGGCAATTGTGCCCATTTGACATTTTGCCTTCTGGTTCAATGAAGACATGGAATATATTGGAGGGGGTGGGGAGGAAAGCAGAAAACTAACTTGCAGCTTCCCACACTGCCTTATGGATGCTCAGTTTTAAAATCAGATAGGGATGGTTCTCTTCTAATTTGCCATTTTTATTTATTTGACAGAATTTGAGTTTTTAGACTGGGGTTAGAGCACCCAATGAAATAAGGGATGGGATTTGTTGGAAGGTGGAACAGTAGGTTATGATGGCTTTGAAATAACGGGGAACTATCAAACATTCAGGGTCCATAAGCTCTTAAATGCTTCAAATTTTTCAGTGGTATTTGAGCCCTTGAAACACTGATCAGAAGTTTTCAATGTCAGCAGAAATAATGAGGGCTAGAAACATTTGCATTTTTAAAAGAACAACTGAAATTCTCATATTTTGGAAGAAAAAAACACCTGATCTCCATATTGTACAGAATGAAGATGATAACTGTTGTTGATGATGGTTGTATCCCCCTCTCAAGGTAAACATTTTAGACAACTTGCGGATCATTAAATCATTAAAACAATGAAAATAATAATCACCTTGCAAACACAAATAACCGTGACAAAATACAACTGACTACTCAGTGCTTTAGAAAGAAGGTAGATATAAAAGTAGCAGTTACATATATTTCAATTAAAAATTAATTTAAGGATGACCTCGTATTCTCTTTTTTTCTCTCATTTAGGATAAAACAGGAGATCTGGCTATTTAAGAAGCAAAGAACAAGAAATGTCTCTTCCCCATGATATCCATTTAAATTTGGGCCACACACGCCACTTGGGCTAATTCCTGATCTGAAATATCAAAACAGGAGAGTAAATGTGATGTCGATGCCATGGAATCTTCTCTCTCTCAATAAATATAAACACCTGGAAAATATTCTCCTTTTGGGTCTGTGGCCCTGCTCCAAGGCTCATCTTCCATTGATTTTCCAAGATCAACAGAACTTTTGAATCTGAAGGGTCAACCCTGGAGGCTGTTCACCTGGGACCCTGATAGGCTACATTTACAGAATAGCTCTTTTGCATGGATGGACTTCCCTCTTGCTCTCGGAAGGAATTATGCTTGGTATAATCACTGGAAATGACAAAATTTGCTAGAATACTGTGTGTATATTTGCATGCAGGTCTTGCACCACATACCCAATTGAGGTAAGTCATACTGCATGACCGGAATTTGGAAATTTTATGAATCCTAAGTGTCCAAAAAGAATGATCAAAATTGACATGAAAGGTGATGCAAAGGGATAGGTGAGATTAGGCCGCAGAAAGGAACATCAACAATGGGTACCAATGAGCTGGTTCGTCTACCTCCTTCTGTGACCAGAGCCATTACTGTGTATCTGCTGGCCCCTCCCTCCCTGACTGAAAACAGGAGGTCGACATCAGTGGATTCAAATGTCTTTGTATTGATTGCAAGGTTGAAACCAATACATAATGTTTATTGCAAATTAATTTGGTATGAAAATGTAATCTTGTCAACGGGCTATTAGAACCCCTTAAGTATCCCTGTCTCGTGCTGTTTGCACCTAAAGGAAAATTGGCAGTTCTTAAGAGGAGCAGTGAGGGGGCTGTATTGCTGTTAAAAATGAAATATGGGTGCCTTGAAGCAAGTTACAATTTTCAGTCTGCTGTTTGCGTGAACATCTCTCAAAGTATTATGAAGAGCGGCAGCTGAACCAATTGCTGCCTGGTTTCCCCCAAGTCATTTGCATCTTTGGATTCTGTTGGTTGGAAGGGTCTCTCAGAGGGAGAGCCTTTATGACTGCAATTCAGTATGGGATGAAGTCTGCTTCTGGGTTGCAGAATGCCTAGTCGCATGCAATCCACCTTTGCAGTTGTCAGACATGAGGACCAAGATGCAGGTGTGGCTGACTGTGATTTCCTGCAAGAAAATGCCCTCATGTAAAGCGGTGGGGGTCCCCCCCCCTTTGGTAATGTGTGAACCAAACTGCAGTCCCGTTGAAATAAATGGAACTGAATAAACTGTAGCCCAATTTATCTGTGCAGCAAGGATGGCTAAACTTAATAGCTTATATATGATGCTGGTCCTCTTCTGAATGCATTCTGGATTCCTAGTTCAATCACGGAAAAGAGTCTTTGGGTGTCCATGCAGGGCAGTTAATGCTGAATGAGGTACAAGCGCAGCATCAATTAGAAATTTGCTCACCTCTCCCTCCTCGAAATAAGGAGTGTCGCTCCTGATTATGGGAGTGGGAATACATGCCAATAACACCTATATGGCAACTTCCTTGCTCTGCTTTTCTATTCATTGCCTGTGAGGGAGGTTTAAGGAAAATAGGGAAATAAAAGCCAGAGCCCAAAGAAAGCTGATTCATCCCCAACCCAGGGCCAGCGGCTGGCTCCAAGCAGAGCTGTAAAATCAATCTGTCACTGCTCACCGCATTATAGATCAGCGAAGAGATTCTGACTGCAGTGAGAGAGGCTGAGTTTCGCTGCCATATGGGGTCTCTCCTTCCTAGCCAGATCTGAAGTGGGAAGAGAGATCCATGACTTCGTGGGGATCAAGGTGGATTGATTTAAACCAAGGTGATGTACAGGGCAAGCTGAATAAGTGTGTATAGGATTGCAGCATTTTATCACTAAGAAAAAGAGCAGTTTTGAATTAAGTTTCTGAGTTGTATATTTCCTAAGCAAACATACATGTAATTTCCTTGCTGTAACAAACCAAATAAAGCATTTATACTATACTATACTATACTATACTATACTATACTATACTATACTATACTCAGGAAGATAATCCAAAACCTTTGGTCACACAGCTCATATACCATTAATTTGCTTAGAGCAGCAATTGTGAAATTTGGTGTTTTTCTACACACATACAAGAAGGACACTAAGCAAGATCCTTTACTAACTAACTTCCCAGAACATTTCATAAGGAAGGGTTGGTTGTTACTGGGCTTTTCCTTGTAATACGGAAAATAAATGCCTATGTTGTTTGTTTAACAAATTCTAAATAAGTGCAATTTGAGCCATAATAAATACAATACGTGGCCTGTTAATATCATATTAAAGTCACACAGTTTCCCCTCTGATTCATTCTATTATGTAGCAAAATAAGTTTTGACTCAGTGTTTCACAGAGGGTCATGGATTCAGTTTTAAAAGATTATTAGTGTAGGCATGAAGTTCTTAATACATTTCTATGTTATGAACTGGCAGGACAACGGGGAGGTGGAAGAGGATCCCAGCAAGGGACTGGGACACATTGGGGCAAGCTGGGGATGGGGAAGGAGAGAGGTTGGTGTAGGAAGTACTCACGGGGTGACAGAGGATGACGAGGAAATGGAGGTCACTGCACAGGAACCAG